AAATATGCAATCGTTCAATCCTGGTGCCATAAATCACTTTTAAAACATTAAATGCCGTGGAAAAAAATGATTAATCAATATATACTTGAATTCATTTGTACTGTGTGATCAAACTGAGAACTGCCTTGGATCATGTGTACGCACATTAAATTGACAAAGGAACTATTTTCATTTAAACACAGTTCATACACCGATGTGCTCACAATGAGGTCTTTGCATTATCTTGAATAGCCGGGTCAGGATTTGCCGTTCAAATGTATTTCCTGCGCTTTGAGCATCACAAGCCAAATTCCATCCAGCACCACCATATCGGAGAGAAGGCCGACATCTCCAATGACTCCAATTCAGCCTGATCAAAACAAATAGAGGAATATATATTGTGTTAAGCCAGAAACTTGATTTGTATCCTTTGGAACCTTTTATTTAAGATGCATTTAAGTGATCCATCGCTGATCTTTAAGCATGTAAAGGACTATAACGTTCTTAACTAGAGGCTTCCTGTCAATTTCAACACAAGTTACCTTTAATTATGGGGTATGGGGTAATAATGGGGTCGTCGTGGCACAGGGGTAGAGCGGTTGCGCAAGGTTGGTGGTTCGATTCCCGGCCACGTCTCAAGTTGAAGTGTCCCTGAGCAAGACAGCAACCCCTAATTGCTCCCCAGGCAAAAATGTAAAAGCCATGGATTTAAAGTGTAATGTAAGTAAGTAAGGTACATATTGAGCGTTAATGTAAGTAAGCTTTGGATAAAAGCGTCAGCTAAATGACCTGTAATGTAATTATTTGTATGCTTGGTGAAATTATAAAAAAACTAAAAGTTTGCTGAAGCAAAAAAAGCTGGGAGGAATTGAAACGTAACTGGCTTGGACATTATTGTAATAATTAAAAATGTCCTCATCCCCAGAAGCAGGGGATGCCGGGGCATAGCGAAAATAATTCATTCACGTAGCCTCTGATTCCACTGGAGCCACGGTTGACTCAAATGGTCGATGACCCAGCGCCGTGGTGGTCATATATCAGCAGTGACTGCTTAATTATGAGGAAGCCATTTCAACCGTGTCGGGCGGACCACGATCTTCATGCATATCTGTCAGGACAGAGATAAGAATAGCAGACCTCCCATCACATTGTGAGAGTGCAGACCAAATGGCCGCAGCTCAATTTTAAGGAAGGATTGTACAAAAAAAAAAAATCATTTAGTGTTTAGCTGTTAGTGTATTTAAAACTCCACTTTGTGGTGTTCTATGAACACTCAGATGTAAAAGGGAAAATAATTATTAGATAATTATGTTCCGTAACGACATCTGAAAGGATCTGAACTGCCAGCCTTTATTGCATCTCATTTTGGTAAAATACTACCTGTCCTCCCAGTGAACTCGAACATGTCCACTTCTTTGAGGAATCTTCCACAGTGCTGCACACAATATGAGTGACTGTCTTTTCCTCTGAACTCCATATTCAAATTCCCACCGCATTAACTCATTCCCAGTCCTTGTGAAAAAAGAAATGCAATTATATCTCGCCAATAATTCTTTTTTTTTTCAAGCTCCCTGCAATATATATTGCATCATGCATTGTGCGGCATGGATTTTTTCTGGTGTCGGGGTTGAATTGAGCGGAGGAAATTGCTTTTTCTCTGTGATCTGTCATAGCTGTGGGGTGGGGGTTTTTGTTTAAGAGCCGTTTCAGCACATGTCAGGGGTCTGATCGAACCACTGGTGTGACTCTTTTCTGGAGGCAAACTGTCTGGTGTTGGACGTTAATAATTCCATGAATCACATTTTTTTTTCTTTTTTTTCTTTTCTTATGAATGTCTACAGGGCTGTGGAAGTTCTTTCTGATATTGTTTAAATTATATCAATTGCCTTTTTCTCTGATAATGTAAACAGAATCATTTCTCTTGTGTGCGTGTGTGGGTGTAGGTTTAATGTATTCTGTTCCCTTTTTGGCAAATACGAAGAAAAAAGAGCACGACTACCAGATTCAACTAATCCACAAGTAAGACAGTGATCCCCAGGGAAATGTATCACTTACACTATGTAGGTATTACTACCCTACACTCAACTAAAGTGTCCAAAAAGATCCAAGACCAGTCCGACAAAAAGCCTGTTAAACAAATACAATTATTACAATATGTGTGTGCGATTATTGTGATGATGAAGCGAAAATTAAACGATATTAGATGGAGGAACACCACACATGTCAGGGGATCAGAACATGATGTAATGCCACAATAAAGAAAAAAAATACATACATTATCATACATATAAAGCTACCTTTTTTTTTAAAGAGTCTTGGAAAAGGATCATCAAAATACAAAGCAAGGAGAAGTCCTTTGGAATTGTGCAGCGATTTCAGGCATTTAAACAATATTAAAATAAAGTGCGCCTGCACTATAGCTCAATAGACAGGTCAGCACACTGCATTCCAGCTTTGATGGTCTGGATTACTGTGATGCATTCTGAGCATTTTGCTCACTAAAAGCTATTTTAACAATAATGAATGAGTTTCATTAACAGTTTGAGAGAAAACAGACAAAAAGCAAACAAAAATGTATTCGGAAGTCTTTGCATTATGCGTAGGAAAAGTACAAGGACAATGGAGGGCCGGAAGACGTTTCAGTGAAATAAATGCTTTTTCTTTAATAAACATCTCGTTAGCGCCAAAGTCTGCAAGCATCGCCAAGGCCAACGTGTCCTTTACAAAATGTAAACATAACACGTGTGTCCAAGCAGAAAACATCACGTACTTGGGAACTTTACTAAAGACACTGTATATAAAAGTATAGAAATGTAAAACAAAATCTATCCGACGGCTACTTCAGTCAATTGTCAGTTTTAGCCGTTCTTATACCGATACCTGTCCGTGTCTGCTGTTGTCACACTGTGTCGAGACGGCGGCGGGGAAGGACAGCGAAACGCACACAGAGTGCGATGGCTTGATTGAGTGAGAAACTGACAGTTCAATGCCAGAAGAGTAGCGCGCTCACACTTCAGTCCGGCCCCAGAACTGACAGCATCAGATATTGTGATGTTCATATAAAGAGCCAGGAGACACCTCGGGGCCACGAGGGCCGAACCACCAGACCTTCCGACTGCCTCCATGTGCCTCCCCTCTTCTTTCCCTCTTTGAGTTTTATACAACAGTGTCTGTGCCAACCCAGCATTTACGACCGTTATTTGTGATGATCATATTTGTCGTTTATTAGCAATAAACGACATATCTACTTGAACGATGAATGAATGAACAAATGGCTGACATGTTTGCTTCATCAGTGTAAAAGTCAATGTTGTATGTGAAGATTATTTCCCCAGCCATGGAATGACCAAAAAGATGATCTGATGCCGGTTCAAAGACATTTGCACCTGCAAAAACCCTTTTTGAAATGCCACGCTCAAGATGTGAGACAGATAAGTGTTTCATGGATTCAAATGTGATGAAAAGAAGGGCACATCTTGATGGTATTTGAAGTTCCTTGCAATCGCTGCACTTTTGAGCAAGGTTGTGCTTTTTGGCACTGGTGTGGACAGAAAGAAGCCAGGCTGTTCTTTAATCATGCATATGGGCTGAGGATGAGGGGGATCGGAGCAAAAAGGAAACAAGTTCAGCTGTGTCTAATTATAAAGATGCCCGAGAGAAGGTTGAGCAGAGGACAGGGAGACTGAGATTCAAATACTTATACTAATGATACTGGACTTAATGAATCCAATAGCAACAGCTACACATACTCAGTACATATACGACACATATATATATATATATATATATATATATATATATATAGTTTATAGTTAATAAAAGTGAAGGTGTGAGTATCTGACTAGCTTTCCATTAGCTATTAAGGTGATGTGCGAGGGCGGAGCTGCCTGCAACTGGGAAAAAAGAGCCTGTTTAATAAGCCATGTATAATTATGTGGTTATGATATTTTATGTGAAAGCCCAAAAAAGTATATTAGTAAAGAATATGTAGAAGTAAATATTTTTCTGCCAAGTTCTTTTGGTTCCCTCATTTGGGAGCGTATCCATGGATGGATGTCACAGCTCGCCTTCTCCTGTAGCTCTTATGCATAGCGCCGGCTCTGCGTGCGACTATGAGGGACATAGACAGTGAAATAAAGTAAGAGGCCATGCAGGTACAAAAAAAAGACTTCAGGTTGGAGTTTCGGGAGAAAGTTAAGGGTTGGGGGTTTTGGAGAGTGCAGCAAAAAACCCAACCAGCGGGATTCCTCAACATGAGATGAAGCCCTGTTAGAATATTAACATCCATGAAGATGAGATGACGTTATCATGAATACATTTTATAAGCAGAGAGAGTGGATGGAAACACACACGAGATAGCTGCAACGCAGGTGCAGAGGTGGGTCTTATCAATAAAGCCCAGAGAGGAGAGACTATTTCGGCGAGAGCGCGCTGCAGAGCTGAAGCTGTGTGTGTGTGTGTGTGTCTGCGTGTGTGTGTGTGTGCGTGCGTGTATATGTTGGCATGGAACATCGGCCTCAGTAGGTTTAGGGCCATAGTAAATCCTCATATGACACAATCATAAAGCTGCAGTATGGCGATGAAGAACCTACTGACGCAGAAGAGCCCAGCAATGCGTCTACTCGACCTGCAAACACGTTGATGCAATACGCTATGATATTGTGTATCCCATCAGAAGGAACTTTTAAACCACGAGGTGCAGATCTGCTTATGACTTGTAGAGCTGCAGCTTTTAAGCTAGACACACCTGCGCACCAGACTGCGTGTCAACACCTCTACCGTTATTCTGTGCATTTGTTGGCATTTGTGTGCCACTTAATCGTGTGACCTCAAATAAGGTGGTAAATAGACGATGCTTTTCTAATCTTCCGTCCGGTCAAAGCGATTTTACACTACATGAAGCCTTTTGGGGTTAAGTGTCTTGCCTTAGCACAATGACGCGGACTAGTGGAGGCGTCAGCATTCTGTATCAACACACACATTTGAACATTGGCTTTGTTTTGTTTTTCTTTGCAACTTACCATGACAGATATGTGCAGCAGGTGCATGTGCTCATGCAGGCCGTGAGCGGGCTCCCGGGCCGAGGGCTGCGTCGTCTGGGCCACGACCTCCGACTCGGTCATGGACACATGGAAGTACAGCGTGCCGTTTTCCAACCACTGCTGCTTCCAGTGCACCTGGGAAATATCTTCCCCCGTGCCCGACATCTCTGCAGAGAACAAGGAAAGAGGGGAAAAAGGGACAATTTATAATTCACGACGGGGTTCACATCCAAAGCGCGAAAGTCTTTTGAGGAATAAACCAAAAGCTAACATGCGACTGTTTGTTTATGCAATGGTATTCCAGTGCAGTGCTGCGATGTAGCACACATCGACTCGCCGCTCTCTGAATTAGAAACCTTGAACTGTTAGAAAGCCGGACAGAGCTGTTAAGCAGCCACAACGTTGTGCCCTCGTGCAGCTGGCATCGGGAAGACTTACTGTCGTGCCGTTGCTCCGCTGCTTTGATGAAATCTTTATGATGGTAACTATTTCACCCGTGGTTTGAAATGCATAAGTGACAAGAATCTCTCATGTGTCTTGGCAAACAATACAGCACTTCTATTACAGACAATATGAGATAAGAGAGGCCTAGTCCTGAACATTTGTTTACACTTTTTTTTTTTTTTTTTTTTTTTAATGCTGACATAAAAACTCCACAAATGGGAAAACAATTGATTTCTCGGGCTCGATTAAATTCATATCTAAAGCAGATGTAGAAATGCCGTCTCACCATTTGATGTACTCTGCTTATCTGCATAAATCATCCTACATTTTGTCCCACTAGAAAACCATTAGCTCCGGGCCAGTGCCGGCATTAAGCATCCAGCATCAAAGGGAAACTGGAAACGTTTAAAAGCGAAGGGAGGAAAAAAAATGTGCAAAATAATAATAATAAAACCATGGAACCAATTGCAATCCGTGGAGAAAAGAAAAAACGCGGAGGTGAAAAGGAGAGTGGGATCCCCAGTTTATCTCGATATGGATCACGGCACAAGAATCTAACGCTATCAAGTGGGAGTGGTTGTTCGGTGGAGGAGTACTGAGAGGCCTCGGGGAGCCTCGGATTGCGAGGTTTGATACAGTATTCGTCACGGGCCCCGGGTGACAAGGGCAAAGACGTCTGCTGACATCTCCTATCAGCGGCGGGTAGCAAATGACAAATGGCTTTCAGTGCAGCTGGTTATTAACCTGCTGTCACCGGGTCAGAGGACACGGATGGCCGGGGAGGGTTATCTGCACTGTGCTCGGGTAGTGCCATGGGCCCTGAAATGCAGAGGGGGGGGCATGCAGAACAGATCCCCCCCCCCCCTCCGAAAATGACAGATCACCTAATGTATATAGACGTGTGCAACGTCCACAGGCATCACATTAAAATGCTCATTTAGCTGGTCGGCTACATAGTGGCAACAACAACAAATGTACCAGTTTTCAAAATTATTATTCCTATTAAATTATTATTCCTATTAAATTAATATTCAGATTAAATTATTATTCCTATTATATTCGTGGTTATAATAATAATAATTATTATTCCTATTGTTTAAAAATATTAGAGAGACGTAGAACTCTCTCTATAAAATCTAGTGCTAATAAAATGGGTCTTCTGAGGTCATCAAAGCATGTTGTACATCTGAAGGAATTGGGACCTATCTCATAGGTGACCTAAGGGAAGGTATACGGGTATACGATATTTTCAGTATGTGGGTAAAAATGGTGTTGAACAATGAACACGTTACATTATCATACATTCTAATACACTCTCCAAAAGTATACATCGTCTTGTGCTGTGAGAGAGCTTACGGTTCAATTGTGTAAAATGCTTTAAATCCCATAACTGCTGGCTATTCAACTCTTTATGTTTAATCTGTGGGAGTCCTTGACCTTTCACATTGAAGTGAGATGAAGCTTTTCTGCTGGGCAGACAGCGAGGTGCCTCCCGCCATCTGTTACCGTTTTCCGCAGAGCTCATCAAGCTTCTTCCAAATTTACCTTGAAACGTTGCTTAGACGCCCTCCGTGCATTCCAGATTGCTATAAATAATTTTGATTGTGCACACAACTGACACTTTGTTTGATGCTAACTGATATTGATTACCATAAGAACAACTGAAAAGCGAGTCTTGAAGCAGGATGGATGGACAGTAATAGAGTTTCTAGGGCTGCTACCTACCTTGGTACATTTCTTATGTAGATGAGGAAGCGCAGTAGGCGTGCTATTTAAAGACAAAAGGATTGTGTGTGTGTGTTCTTGTATTTTGTGCTGTGAGGCTTGTCATTGGGCACCTGGCCAGACGTTACTGGGATGAAGGTGCATCGCCTCAAGGTCTGCTGGTAATTCATTAAGAGGAACGACATTGATGTGTATGTGTCAATGTGTGTGTGTGTGACTGCTCCCAGCAAGGGTGTTAGCCGTACGGTGCGTCCGAAGGGAGACCCAAGGAACGGCGTCGTGATGGTGAACATTTCATAGAGCTCGGAGAAACAATGTGTCCCATCATGTTCAGAGAAAAACGGTCAAAAGGGACTAAATTGCTGCCACAATCTGCACATAAAAGGGAAATTGGCTTTGCAAAATAATACATTTATCTGATCTTATACGGGACCATACTGCCAAATAGTCTATTCTTCACATTGCTGATGTTCAGTTTTTTAAAGCCTCCGCTACATTCGGAGTCCAATTGTACCAACGGGACAGGCTTTTAAATTGAAGGGAATTGCCGTATGCATCTGCACGGCATGAATGGGAATTTAAATGTATGGTATGCTTTTTAAAATAGTCACGAGTCAGTTAGGCAAGCAGTAATATAAAGGGCACGTGATGTAATTCATTTCCATGGCCTGTGAAAGTAAAGCTATAAACCTTAAAAACTGGACAACAAACTGTAATCTCATCATGCTGAATGCGCTGCACAGTTTTTTCTTTTGAGCGATGGAATTGCACTTTCACAATCACCATTTCCTTTGTAGTAAGGTCATTTGGAGACCACACTCAGTTTTCTGATAGTTCATTGCACGGAGGATTCAGCTTAAAAAGATTTCAAACGGGGGCTTTTCACTTGATATTTCGGATCGACCATGTTCAGGCCCCAGTAGTTACCAGAAGACTCAACGCTAAAACCGAGGCAGAAAAGCTGTAACAACAGATGTGAAAACCTTGGTTTTGGTCCCTTTTCACTTGGCACAGAGTTTGCATAACTGTCGGCACACGGATATGGAAGCTAGGCCCAAATCCTTGATAAAGCCGCCCTACTCTTTGCTAAGTCCTCTCAGTAGGTACTCTAGATACAAGTGAAATCTATTGAACACTCAGCAGAAGTCGTACTGCAAGAGCCGGTGATCATATAAGCGCTCCCATATTACTGTGTTTTTCCTGATTCCTTTTTCTCTAAGCTCTCTCCTCTAAGATCATTCATCCTTTCTTCATCGTTTGAAAGGTTTGGCTCAAAGTGCTGAGCTTGATTTTGACGTTTTACTGCAGTTTTTCCCCACTCTTTAAAGGTTGCCTTGGGAAAGAGTGATTTCCACTTAGCAGAGGCTTGGATATTTGATTAGATGAGGTTGCCCACAACCGCTGAATATCCTAAATACATGCTGCTCAAAATAACCCAGACGAATCAGGTCCTCCTAAGCATTTGTATGTATTTGTAGGGATTTAATATTGCAATTAAAATAAATAAAAATCAACATTAAATCATTCATATAGATCGACACACTGCTGCAATGTTCACTAAACCAACAATGTACATTAAGATTTGTTAAAACAAACAAATCCCTTCCCTAATTTAAACAAACAAATTAGATAAAAGTGAATTAATTGTACTTATAATCCATACATGAATTGCCAAATTAAAAGTATAATATCCCATATTTAAATAATTATGCAAAGCTGATTTGCTCAAAGTAAAAACCAACCCTTAAATGGAATATGCACATGCTGTTCCTTCACCTCAGTGTCCTTTACACTTCAACAAAGGGAGAAGACCAGTAACGATGTCATCCAGAGACATTCTGGAGATGCTCCAGTGATCATGTTGATCATGAGTGTTTATTGTGGCATTCATTTTGGCAATCACAACTGGAAAATTTTTATTTGAATAGAATAGAATGATAAAAATGTCACCAGCCCAAAGACAAAATCTCCTTCTGTGTCAATGGACCATCACAAAAAATGTATTCGAGGGACACATCTGCCATTCAAGAGTGGGAGATGGAAGTATTTGTTTGGGGACATTCGCGTTACTGTCCGAAATATATTGAAACAATGCATTCACCAACATCCCGACCAGAGTCAGACTGACAGCTACGTGGCAGTTTGTCAGCTCGTGGACAAACTCGTGTCAACTACATTTACCGTGATGAACGCTGGCACCGTAAAAAAGGAACTTTGTGGCACGAAACGTCCAACGGGCAGCCACAATGGCTTTGCTCACGCTGCCATTCTACGGTATTGATGGCAGATTGAGAAAGAGAATGGATTCATTGGTTTCAAATGCATAAAGCCCACAATTAAAGCAAAGCCAAAAAATGGGAGGGGTGAGAGTATATGAAAGGGAGAAACAAGCAGACGGAGCTAGAAAGGGGAGGGAGGTTTATCAGTCATCATGCAACAAAGTGTTGAAGAAGATCACCATACCTCTTCGGCATTACGCCTCAGAACATCTCTGACACCTGGGACAATGCTAAATGTCATGCTTTTTTAAAAAACTTTTCGAATGCACATTTCCGTCAGATGTCGACGGGAGCCGTTCATCAGCGGAAAATAAACAGGTTGAAAAATGCACACTTGATTAGCTACTAAATGGCCTTGATGTAATTTCCCCTCCACTCCCAGAATACAAATTGTACCATTACCATTTCAAAATGACCTGATGGCTGCTGTATTTGGGAAAATACAGGATGAGCCACCAAAGATACGCAGGGCTACCGGTTCCAATTTAACACCCATGCAACTAAAGGCCACGCTGATGTCTCATTACAAACAATAATGAAATAGCTGGCATGAAGGAAAATGAACCAATTATAAATACATCAAGACTTTCCTTCTCCTGGTAACGTAAGAATGTTATCAGGCCTGACACAGTTAGCACAAGGCCCTGTTTATCTTGTTGGAATGATCAGTCTGGCTTGCGTATCACATTAATTGGTCCATGTTGTTTACTAATCGTCAA